TTAAAACCTCACGCAAGCGAAAGATAAGCAGGAAAAACACTTTGAATGGTAAAATAGAAAGAATGTATATTACGAAACTCCTGTATAATTACGGATGAAAGTAAATCATCGCCAAAGCCATCGTGCTGAATCTATGCAGACAAAGAATATACATCTCATCCAAGGACAATCTTTCTCACTCAAGCCACAAGAAAGTCACACGCTATAATTACTCTTCTAAAACCATGACCACCATGACATTGCAGTGACCACTAAAGCATCTATCATGGCACCCAGCCAAGAAATGTTCAAAATTCGATGAAAACACAGTCACCGGGGTTGAGTTGCGCTCATTGCCAGAGTACTTCCTAGTACACCTAGGAAGCGCGGGAATGTGTCACAGGATAAAAAAACATCTATCTAAGAAAAATCAACTTAATTCAAATTTGTTCAGATTTTCTAGGAAATTCTCAGTACCGAAAAAATCACATGAAAAAAAGATGGGAAGCTCAACAGGTTAGATAAGGAAAAAACAATACCCTGAAAAGTTATGCAGATTTTGCAAATATTCGGATATCTAGATTCGTAGTGTCCCTTTCGCTCCAAATGATAGAACTTCAAGATTTTTCTTGACGAAACTGAATTGTCACATTGAATTTCCATCGAAAAATATGAGTGAGTATTTGCTTGGTAAACCGATGGCTGAATGCCTGGTATAATAATACGTAACGTTCTCTGACGTTTGCGGTTGTATTGCCTGAAATATGTAGTTATAAGGTTATATTTTTTTACAAGGAAAATGATTTTCTCTACCTAAAAAATGAAGTTTGTGCAAATCGGTCCAAACAGCATTATAATTTCCCAAAAATGGTGAGAAATTTTGAATCAGCCCAATAAGCATTTGGCATTCTTATTCCGGGGAAATGATTTAGTTTTTGCAAGAAAAACATTGTCTCCAAAATGTTTTCAAAACTTGAGTTGATGGGCAAAACATAAATCATTACTGAGGAGAAGCAATCTCGAGAACTCGTGAGCATGAACGGTCTTGTTTCGAAAAAAAAACCTCAAATTTTCCTCGATCAAAACTTTGGTTTTGGTTGGTCATTATTGGGTTGAGAAGTCTCGGCAATCTTGAAACCCCACCCCCTAGTTCCAAAATGCTCCAATTGGAGCAATTTCGCTATTAGGGCCGCATGCACTAACCTCCCCGCGGGGAGGGGATCCCAGCTTAAAAGAAAGCTTTATATTTCGAAACTCCAGATATCTGGATTTCACGTTGTGTACCTATCCGTAAGTATTCCTACTACCCTTTACTATGAACATGTTGAACAGGAGCGAGAAGCTGTACGAACCGCATTTTCCAGCTTTTGTATGATCCCTGATGATCCCCCGCGCTTTTCTTTAAAGTTATTTTTCTTACTCCGAAGTTAACGAAAACCTTCCAAAGTCGTACTGAACATCTGACACAACACTGCTAAGCATGTTGCTGATGAGAACAAATGAGTTTTTAAAAAGTCGAATTTTCCGGCAAACCTCAAATTTCGACCTGTGGATCATCGAAAATTTCATGACTTCAAAACATCATTTGTTCTTATCAGCAACATGCTTAGCACTGTCGGTTTAGATAATCTGCACAACTTTGGAGGTTTTTCGTTAACATCGGAGAAAGAAAAATGATTTCAAAGAAAAGCGCCGGGGATCATCAGGGATCATACAAAAGCTGGAAAATGCGGTTCGTACAGCTTCTCGCTCCTGTTCAACATGTTCATAGTGAAGGGTAGTAGGAATACTTACGGATAGGTACACAACGTGAAATCCAGGTATCTGGAGTTTTGAAATATAAAGCTTTCTTTTAAGCTGCGATCCCGTCCCCGCGGGGAGGTTAGTGCATGCGGCCCTTAATCTGCAATCTTGTTTCATCGTAATCGCGGTGCCGGCGCTTGCTGTGCGGGGTTCTCTGGGGAACTCGTAATTATGGCGAGACTGATGCTTGGCATGTACATCACTAAGGTGTGTGAGATTATGGCTCGGGTGAAAAACTTCCCGTACCCCCCTTCGTTTTGCAGATGACTGATGATTGTGTTAAAACCTGACATCAAAGAGTAAAAAAGCAAGAACAAAACCGTAACTACTACTCAATAATCTGAAAGTTTATTCTATCAACTTCCTAATGTTTTCATCTAATTATCTGCTTATTTATTTATTTGTTACACTACATAAGTGTAATGTACCATGGCAAAAGTCCTTGCACCATGGAGAAGGCATAACCAGGGTTGAGCGTGGGGTCAGGCGCGCCCGAACTGGGGGATCGTATTGAGGGTAAGACTGAGGGGGGGGGGGGGTCGTAAATAAGAATCGAATTTATTAAGTTGGGGAGATACTTTGAAAATGAAGAAGAGTCCTGTGGATAGCGCGATCACATGAAGGAGAATGGTCATAGCAACAGCATACTGATTGTTTCCACAGTGATTGTTTCAGCCAAAATTCAAATCTTCTTCCCATTTACCTTAACATATGAGGTAAACAAGAAAGCTTGCTGTGTGAAATGGGTATCATTTCCATAATCAGCATGTCAAATTACCTCTGTACACTCTACAAGCCATTACCTACTGCAGTTTCTAGTGTTTCTCAACGCCTAAAAAGTGTAATTTTCAAACGTGATCAACTTGGTTTTAGAAGTGAGAAAAGTCAGCGTTTGTATACTCATAACAAAGTAACGTTCTCTATAAGTCTATGCTACAAATCGGACTTCATATCGCTTTCAAACAGCGAAGTAAGAAGTGCTGCCAAAATTACAACCGGCGCGTTTTTCACGTTGACTGCTTCAACTTCTCGGATTAGCACAAGGCCGAAACAAGTCGAATCAAGCTCAAACACTTACTGTGGAATCTTCGGGGATTGAGCTAGCGAATCACATAAAACTTGGATAGAAAAGCTTTTTCGGAAATAAAGTTAATGGGGTCAGGCGCAACCCCTCAAAAGATCAGGCCGCCTGAGCTTTTGAGGGGTTGCGCCTGACCCCATTAACTTGCCTTCAGCATTCAAAAATCGCCCCTTTTTTGATATGAGTATTGTGCGCAAAGCCTCTTCTTGCTATATTGAAGATTTGAAGCCAAACACTCCACCCCTGTGAAAATTATAGCTCTGAAAAGAGGACTATCCAGATCTAAAACTTGCCGTCAAGTTGCGTGTGTTGTGCAATCGCAGAAAGTCGGGCCTACAGACTTTCAAAAAATGAAAACCTGCAGTGAAGGCTGGTCTTCTTCAAAATAAAACACCCTAAGGACTTGGAGGTGAAGCGGAGGGTCGTTTAGGGGCTTTCACAAGGGGGGGGGGGGGTCGTTTTTGAAGGACTTGTGCCTGACCTCTTGCTCAACCCTGGGCATAACATCAAATACACGATACAGATATGCATCCAACTTTACCACCATGCCATTGAATCCTACGCATAATCTGTTCAGATTGAAGTCGCATTTAGGGAGATAAGTAGAAAAAAGCAGTTACCGTTATGTCGGAAGATCCTACACGTTATGAGAGGCTTTAAGTACTGCCAGGGCTCGACACAGCTTTCATCGGGTCAAGCTGGATATCGTTTTTAAGGCAGAAAGCAAAGGGGATATCGTTTTCCCGGGGTCCGGGGCGGAGAAGAGCCGGAAGAATGTCGCCGGCATGCCACCGGCATGCTGTCCATCAAACAAACAAAGGCGTTGTGCCAAAACGCAGTAGTATGACACCAAATCTGGTGTTGCATGCGCGTTGGGGGACCCGAACTATGGCCCCAAAATTTATGTAAACTTATGTGAATAAAAGCCGTGCTGAACTTTTTTCTGAATTAGCTGGCACCGTGCCAGCTGGGTGCCAGCTGAGCTGGCACCGACACCTCACATAAGTTTTCACACTTTTTTACATAAAATGTATCTGCACTGTAAAAGTTTACATGCAGAAAGGAAACATTTTCATAATGTTTTCTTTTCAGCGTTTTAGAGCCATCTGAAAATTGCTCGGTCTGCTCCGCAGTCGAAAAATCGGCTTTTTCTGCTTCTCAAGATGTGATTCAACCACTTAAGAAGCTCAGAAAGCAGTGAAAGGTTGTTTTATGAAATCAGCATGCATGAAAACTATACTACATACTTTTACATAATCATGACTTATAATAACGGGCTAAGGATGTTTACGTGACTTTGTGTGTGTGTGTGTCTGTCTGTTACGAAATTCGTGGAGCGTGTTCCAGCCAACGTTCTAAGCCCAAATTTTGTATAGCGCATGCTACCTTCGTGAAAGTCCAACATGCAAAAGCACGAGTAGATTCGTTGAGTGGATCCCTCAGAATTTGCGCGCCAAACGGGTCCACCTGGCTTCTGTACCGCAAAAGTCGGTGCGTATCACCACTTTTTGCAGAGTCGTGGATGAGTTTGGTAAGCAAATGTGCAAGCGATGGACTTTAGCCAGAAAAGTAGTCGAAAGTTTACTACATAACGAAAACGGCGCCATAACGAATTGGTTGTGTAAATGGTCAATTTGCCAAGGTTCTAGTTAAGCGTTTGAGAAGATTTTCGCACAGAGATGTAGCTCACGGTTATCGTTACCTTCATGGCGACTACCAAGTCATGACAAACCCAAAAACCTATTCAAATTTGCGTTTGTCTTCCTGCGAAAAGTTTCATCCACTCGAAATCACCGATCTCACGTGAAAAGATTTTCTAAATGAGTGGTTGTTTACATTTTATTCGTGGTAGTCGGCATAGTGCGGTGAGTTCCACTGCCACGATTTTACGAGAATGAATGAGGCACATAGATAGTAGAGCCAGTGCGAACCTCTGCGAAGCAGAGGTGACGCACTGGTCTAAAAATAATGACGGGTCTCCAAACAGGTCAAAGGAGACTTCGTACGAAATTCTTAAGATCAAACGGGACTTCTTGAAATTTTCCTCGTGCCAGATCGTGCCGAGCCCTGTTACATGCATACCATCGGTGGACGTAAATATAGTGGAATGTGGTGATTCGATAAGTCTCATTTCAGGATGTTGGACCTACGTCTTGTTATCATAGCAGTTACAATTTGCGAAGCTCATAAAATTCTTGTAGTGATTCCGAAAATGGGTTACAGCCATATGAAATTCTTGGGGTGTATAGCCGATACCCTTGTAGATGCTGGCTATGATGTGGTGGGTTATGCATCATTGATGTCACTTATTTTGAAAACTCCTTTTAGGTTTCCTTACAACCTGTAATCTTTCCTCATGTTGACAACGGCACGAAAAAATCGAGATTGATCCAGATCGATGTGGACGAAGAAATGACAAAAGAGTTAGTATCTTCAAATCGCGAAATTCAGCAGCATTTATGGACGGCGAGCGCTACTAACCCCATTGGTGTCATAGAAGTAAGTAAAAAAAAGTGGACCATATAGAACACTGCTTTCATTGCAGCCATTATCCTTTCTCAATAGAATCACAGAAAAATCCGTTCTGCGTAAGTTTCACTGCCTATCTCAATTATTCTTTTTAAGGCTTTTTTGTTTAGGATTACTGGAAAACAAAGAGCTTCTTGAAAGGGAAGTCCGAAAACTTTGATCTGGGTATTACTGAGCTGTTCGATTTTGCTGGCATGGGTAATGGATAGTGCCAAAGGCAACGCAGAATATAAACAAGCACTTCAGCCGTCTTTGAGGCGATTGGTCTTAAAAATATAGTGGGAGCTGATTCGCACTCATCATTGATGGAAGGTACTGCTTATGCTATTGGAGCCCCCGTCATCCCTAGTTTCATGCCAGGTGAGTTAGTTTCAAGATGCATAAGAACTTTCAACTGATGTCATGATTTAGGAAGGTTGTACTTTGTTACCATGCTATCAGACTTTTCTAACTTTTCATACTGATATTGTCTTCTTGGAATAATGCTTGGAAAGCATTTTATGCCAACTCAGAGAGGGCGAAATAGGGCAAAATGAGCGCGTCCTTCTAAACTTTTCTGCAAAAAAAATTTTAGGACACATCAGGATAGAATCGGAAGTTAGCAGTGCTGCTCAGCCGAATACCACACAGTGAGCCATGCTTACACAAGTTTACTATATTCAGAATCAAGTTGTGGTTTCATGGTAGAGGCTTACAAAAGAAGTTCTTTGGTGATTTTTGCCAAGAAAATTCTTCCCATTGTCGCTGCAATAATTTTCGAGCATGCATAAAATTGCCAAAGATTTGTTGTATTAATTTTTTTTTGCACTCTCAATAATCATTTCTAAAGTTATGGTAAATTAACGTGAACTTTGAGAGCGGGTAGGATTTATGAAACGACCCAATACTGATTGATGCAAAATCATCCTAATCTCATGAGTATACAAGCGCACCTATTTCTTTTTCAAACTGATCCAATCTGAAAACACCCAAATTTTTGCGATTTAAGTGGTGCCTTTCACGTAAAAGAATTTTGTGGGAGAGGGCCAGCGAGGCACAATGCGAACGAGCTGCTTGCTTAAAAAGTTGAAAGGATGCGTCTTGTACTGGTGAAACTAGGGTCATGCATGTTTTTCACGCAACAGTGGATTTTTTGCTTAATGGAATGCTGAGGTATGAATAATCTGCAGTACAACTTGCATGCGAACGGATGGGTACGCCTATGACGTCCGCTTGCGCGTAAGGATGCCAAGTCGGTGGTGTGGGGGGGGGGGGGGAGGCGGCAAAGATTTTTTTTCAAGTGAAGGTGCGTGGCGTGAGCCACGCACTCCGAATATATTTTTTGGGGTGCTTATCAGAATTTTTGTGGGTCTCCAACCCCTAAAACTGGAAGAAGAGGGCGTGGCGTCAGCCACGCTCCCGATAAAATTTTTTTTATAAGGCCAATTTGAATTTTTGAGAAATTTTAGAATTGTTTCAATTGGAAAAAAATAAACAAGTATTTTTAAAACCCACCCAAGCAAATTTCAAAAATTTCGCAACCCACTCTCGGCCCTCCCCGTCCCTCCCCCCCCCCCTCCTCGGTCCGCCACTGGTGTGGCTATGTATGCTCAGCGCAAGTTTACCGCAGATTCGCGAGCAGCTAAATTCAGCGAAAACTAGATTGTATCTTATATTTAGCCGAGGTGAAAATGTAGCATTGCTCGTGAAAGTTAATGGGTATGTGTGACCAAGTTGGAGACCCGTCTTTTGAACGAAATTTCACTTTTGTAAATATAACTTTTTCGAACTTTGCAAACTGAGGTAGATCCATTTTGGTGTGAGTTTTGCTAGGTTTCACTGTATTCATAGGTTTGTTACAGCTTCATTTACTCTGCCGTAATAGCACAGTAATATGCATTGATTTGATTGAAATTCAATCTACCCTAATTTCACGCGTACAAGGCGCGGAGTGGTCCTAGCTTTCATCGAGCTGCTCAGCCGCCCCAACGTGTTTTAAGAAGCGATCCTTACTCGGCACGATTCGTCAGGCAAAACGCAGCACGGTATGGGGTTCCTTTGGTTGTGAAGTCCTTTGTCGTGTTCGGGCTGGTCGATGAAAGCTAGGACCACCCCGCGCCTTGTACGCGTGAAATTAGGGTACACATAGCATCAAAAAGTTATTTTTTCAGCTTCTCAAGGAGTCACTGATGATTCTCCTTCTTTTCTCAATCGTATCTCAAATCTACTTTTTACTTACCTTTCTTGGTACTATCAAAATAGACTAGCGGTTGCTGCAGAAAATGCGATGAAGGAAAAGTTGGGCCATTCCGCAACACCTATTTGGGTTCGCTAGCAGAGGGAGATTTTGAGCACCAATTCACCAGGTTGTGCTTAGGATGCAGTATCGAATATGTCGTGGATTCTCACAAACTCTGAACCATTATTGGCATTTGCGAGACCTACTCTACACAAGGTTGTTGAACTCGGAGGAATTGGAGTGCGCAGACCTAGACCACTAGATGAGTTAAGCATTTATTTATTTCAATTATGCCATAAAACTAGAGAGAGTTTTAGAAGTGGGATAAAATACTGAGCTTACGTAAGCATACGGTATTGATATCATTCGGTAGCGTGGTTCCGAGCACACTCATGCCACTTGCAATGAAGAGAGCTCTCATTGAGGTCGTACAATCGTAAGTTATGATAGCTTATATGCCTTGCACGATACGTGCGTACTAGCAGTAGCTAGAAAATGCAGAATTTTAAATCCTATACAAAAAGTTCGAACTTGCAGCTCTCAATCTGCATATTTAGGCTTTGGCCATACTTTGCCCGTGTTGCCGGTGTTGAAAGTGTTGAAAGTGTTGACAGTGTTGAAAGTGTTGCCAGTGTTGAAAGTGTTGAAAGTGGTGCCGGTGTTGAAAGTGTTGAACGGAGGTCATCAGTCTAGCAGTTTCATTCTTTCTCGAACGATCTCAACGGCTGGTGAATACATTGGAAATGGAATTGGGGAATGAGAAATGAAACTGAAATGAGATGGGGAATGTTTTCGCATGCAAAAGACCCTCAAACAAACTTTTTGAAAAGTGGACGGCTTGTCTGGAATAGGCAATCTCCAATATTTGAAAAAGCTGAAGTCTGAGTAGTAATGTGTGTTTTAGTTCGAATCCTACCGCGCTTGCGATTAGTGAGTAAAGGACCTAAGTGAGGTTTGCAGCGTTTTCCTATTCCAGACAAGCCGTCCACTTTTCAAAAAGTTTGTTTGAGGATCTTTTGCATGCGAAAACATTCCCCATCTCATTTCAATTTCATTTCTCATTCCCCAATTCCATTTCCAACGTATTCACCAGCCGGTGAGATCGTTCGAGAAAGAATGAAACTGCTAGACTGATGATCTCCGTTCAACACTTTCAACACCGGCAACACTTTCAACACTTTCAACACTGGCAACACTTTCAACACTTTCAACACTTTCAACACTTTCAACACTTTCAGCACCGGCAACGCGGGCGAAGTATGGCCAAAGCCTTACATAAAGCTAAAATGGTGTCAAAAATTCTGCCTGTTAGAAATAGTGCTCAAGTAGTCGAAGGCTGAACAAGAAAGAATACCAAGCTACAATACCGCTCACATTTTTTGGAAAAAAGACGCGAATGTCGCATCATGTATGAACATCACCGTAGCGTGGCCATATCTCGCTTCAGAGTGAACAAATTCTGCATCTAAAGCCGCCATTCGACTCAGCTCGGCGCGGCACATCTTCTGATATATAGAGATGTCCACTTGGACACAGTAGGAGGTCAGATTCCATGAATCGTTTCAGATGTAGGTTGCCCAGTGGGTGCAATGAATAAGCACACTGAGTAACCTACAGTAAGCAAAAATCTGAAACAATTCGTGGAATCTGACCTCCTACTGTGTCCAAGTGGGCACTTCTATATTTCAGATGCGAAGCGTTGAGCTGAGTCGAATGGTGGTTTTAGATGCAGAATTCGTCCACTCTGAAGCGAGATATGGCCATGTGACGGTGATGTTCGTACATGATGCTACAGTCGAGTAGATTTCCTGCTTAATATAGTGTCCCTGCAGAAGCGACAACGCTGGGGCGTCAATAAATACCTTGCGAGTTCTCGAGCTAGTGTTTTCCAGTGTTTCTCTTGCTTATTTCATGCTTTTTAGTTGAGTCGTTGCTTATAAAGAGGAAAAGGGTAAGTTAAAGAGTAGTTTCTGTTTTCTGAGAAGTTCTATCATCGCATATTCACAGATGTCCATGTGGAAGCATTTCGCGTCAGCTTCTTGTCTATTTTTTTTGTCATTTCCTTTTCTTCTGTCACTTCTTCTTTCAAACCTCCTCCTTCTTGTGAGGCGTTTCTTTGAAAGCTAGTTGGCTTGTCTTGCAGCTACTTTGGCTTTCATCCACAAGAGATAGCATTTTAATCAAGTACTTCATGTGATAAAGACAATTAGTCAATCGTAAAAACCCACTAGCATTCAAAGAAGTACCTCACAAGAAGAAAGAGACATGAAGTGACAAAAAAAATAGACAAGAAGCTGACGCGAAATGCTTCCACATGGACATCTGTGAATATGCGATGATAGAACTTCTCAGAAAACAGAAACTACTCTCTAACTTACCCTTTTCTTCTTTATCAGCGACGAATCACCTAAAAAGCATAGAATAAGCAAAGAAAACACTGGAAAACACTAACTCGGGAACTCGTCAGGCAATTATTGACGCCCCAGCGTTGTCGCGTCTGCAGGGACACTATATTAAGCAGGAAATCTACTCGACTGTACATGCTCTAATCTAAGAAATATTGATTTTAACCCAGAAACTTGTAAAAGCTACATTCTTTTCTTACCAGTCTAGTACTTATAACACTGTCTTCATCAAAGGTATTCCGCGCTATTAAGATAGCAAGTAAGGTTCAAAAATTCATTGAAATCCTCATAAAGACACTTTTCCAGCTTCCTGGCATTCGGTTTCTGACTGCTCTGGCATTTCGACAGATACCTCGTCTGGAACACCCACAGCCGGACATCTTCTGCAATAAACGTCAAAATCCAAGAGGGAATTTTGACCCTAGCCAAACAGTACACTTCCATTTCCTGGGCTCCTATCTCTTCTTTCAATAAATTCATCAGATTCTCTTTGCATGCAGTCACCACCGAAGCGATTATTATGATCCAGGCATGGCCAATACCAAGAAGCCAAACGAAACCAGTTAAAAATATATTCAATACCAAGTGATTACTGCATCCCAAACACATAAATACAGCAACTGGCTGGAACAAAAGGAAAAGTTATAAATGTTCTTTTCTTAGCACTAGTGTCATAGACGATTCATCGCATGCAGAGAGAGGATGCCATTATGGACGCTAACGCGTCTTCAGATCAAACGCAATTCCTCTAACCGTCTGCTGGCTTTCTATAGACGAGACACCTTGATCGGGCGCAACGGCGTCCAGTCTCTGCGTGCGATGAATGAGGTATACGAACTTT